ATTATCATTATTATTATCATTATCGTTATTATTATTATTATCATTATTATTATTATTATTATTATCCACTGATCCTGTTTTGAGTAGATATGATCAGAAATGAGGGTCTGGATCTTGGATTTTGGATCCGTCGGAATCAGTGGATCGTCTTTCATCCGTCGGAAACCGTTCGGATCTTGAGATCGCGTTTACCTTTAGACTGTTTGATTGCACCACGGATGCAGGGATAAATTTTGTGTGTTTTTCTAATTTTCGCGTAATCTTTCTGCAAAAAAAATTAAAATTTATGCATCAAGAAATTTGAATTATTTTAGTTACTCAATATTTGGCGTGTCCCCCAAAACATAGTTAATGGAGCAACTTTTGTTCAAGATAGTAAAACCAAAAGAGCATATGGTYTCTTGGTAAAACCTTTTTTTTTTTCACAGTTTTGTTTTCAGTTATTAATTTTGAACTCAATTACTGCCGTTTCCGTGGTTCATCCATTTTTTCGCTCTCTTGCTGTGGTACAATATGTTTCAATCTGTCAGATCTTAAGGACACCAGGTTAATCGAGTCGCAGTCATTACAGCAGCATGACGTTTTCTTTGTGTTTTGTAGATTCGCAGGGAACACGCTTGTACACATGCAGTGGCGGATCCAGGGGAGGGGTGCAGGGGGTGCGCACTCCTCCCTGGTTCGACTTTGTGCCCCTACTTCAAAGATTTAACCAATACAATATAATGTTTTTTCCCTTTGGTTTTAAGGGGTGCACCCCTGCCTGGGTTAGCTATGTGCACTGCACCCCTCCCTGAACAAATTCCTGGATCCGTCCCTGAAATGTCACACTGAATCACCTCATTTAGTTGAGTAGAGTGACATTCATACCAATTAATTACAACAGGTAGCACCTCAAAGATGAAAAAGCTGCTAGCTGAATGTTTTTTTTAATCGCTTACAGCTTGGATTGGATCTATCGCCTATTCAATGACATTTCTTCTATCACCGCTGTGCACACTTTGCTGCAAGTACTTCGGTTGTCGCAAGACTGCGGTAGTTGGAAATTTGTCATGCGCAGCAGGCCTCGTCATCTCTTCGTTTAGCACATCGTTTCACCTACTGTACTTCAGCTACAGTATCTTGTTGGGAGCTGGAGGCAGCTTACTTCACATCTCTGGAATTCTCTTGGTACAGAGATACTTTAATAAAAAGCGTTCCCTAGCAACTGGTGTCGTTTCAACGGGGTCGAGTTTTGGGGCAGTTTTAGGTCCTCTTTACCAGCTTCTTATTCAAAGAGTTGGTTGGAAAAACACCTATCGTATGATCGCTTCATGCTTTAGCGTATCGATTCTCTTAGTGCTGCTGTTTTACAGCGGTGACGTCGATGATGGCAGTAAAGAAAGCGATGAAGAAAGCAATAAAGAAAGCGAAGACAAGAGAGAAAGGAAGACAAAAAACTGTTGGCCGAATATAAACTTCTCTTACTGGAATTCAGCGTTTATTATAGCTGTTGTGACCATTACTATACAGTCTTTGGGCATATACATTCCATTGATTCACTTGGTAGGTGTATACTGATAAACGTCCATGCTGGTCTTGAATGGAAAAGTCATTTCTTTTGAATAAATCAATGAAAGAATGAAAAAAGGAAGGACGAGAAGTGATATAAGTTATTAATGAAGAAATAGAGCTAAACAAAAATGATGTGGAGGTTGAGAATGATAAAAAGAAACAAACGAAAAAAATTGGGAAGAAAGTGCCATCTGATTAGAGATAATGTTGGAAATGAATGAAACGAAAACTAGGAAGGCGAAGAGGGAAAATGAAATTACAATACTTGTTGCTACAAAGTCGTCAAAACATATCTATTGCCGTTGAAATTTAACTCAAAAACAAATAATTTTCCCCCCTTCCTTTTACTAATATTAGGTCAAGTACACAAACGAGATTGGCCTACCACCTCAAAAAGCATCCATGCTTTTTATCTACATTGGAGTAGTTTCATTCTTCGGTAAAATTATCGCTGGGCGCCTTTGTGACTATCCTGGAATATCCTCATTTTGGGTCAACCAAATTGCTGGCGTTATCTCTGGACTTTCCATCATTTTCCTCCAATTTCCCTCCGATGAAAGAGGTTTTATCGCCTTTGCTTGCTGCTATGGACTTGGACTTGGCTCCTTCATAACATCACTCTATCTTGTATTCCTTAATTCTGTGAGACCTATGGACAGACCTATTGCTTTGGCAACTGGGGAAGTCATTTCTTCACTCTCAGTTCTTGTAGGACCGCCTTTCATTGGTAAGTCTCCCCAATAATTGTTATACCCCACCTATTACTTCTTCGCAACCTCCATATCAATTACCATGTCTTTGCCATTATTTTTTAAGTCACGAAAATAACAGAAAAACTTGATCTCTACGATGACGTAGGTCGATTGGGCTCGTGTAGATTTGGCYTGAGATTTCGCGCCAAAACGCGCGTGCGATCACCCCAGTCTCAAAGTCCGAGTTACTTCGCCACAATACTGAAAAAGTGCTGTAAATATTATTGATAATCTAATGTCATTTTTTAAACATAATTTCTCTTTTTCTTATAAGGTTTTATAGCTGACAAACTGGATTCATATATTATGGCTTTCGCAGTCGCGGGTGGAATTGTTATTGCTGCTAGTTTGATACCATTCCTTAGGATTTGCATTAAAAGCGATCCCTTGTCTCAAGACCAAATACACCAAGTTCTTTTAGAAGAAGTAATTTTAATAGAAAGAGAAACAGTTCTTTAAGTTATGTATGGACAAATGTTATTATCATTGTCACTGATTAATCAATTAAGTTGCCCTTCATCAGCATGGTAGGAACACTGAACATAGTACTTATCAACAGTCCCTTTCACAATTTCCTGCGCCATCTTGAAAGCTAGCCGTTCCTTTGCATCGAAGCGAGACGAACGGTGAGCTTGCAATGATAGAGACATGTGAATACTTGTCCAAAATGTTAAAAAAGGTCTCTATCATTGCAAGCTCACCGTTCGTCTCGCTTCGATGCAAAGGAACGGCTACCTTTCAAGATGGCACAGGGAACGTGAAGGGGACTATTAGCTTTTCCAAGGTTTAGGAAAAAACTGGGTTGAGTTGGCATTGCTTCATTGGGTGTTTTAAGGGATATATTTCCAAAATGGGGGCGCTATTTCTAAGCCATTTAAGAATGGAACAGTCTAAGTAATGATATTAAACCATACTAATTTAGAGATAACTAAAAAAAAAAGAGATAACTAGCTAAAAACTAGTGTGAGCTGCGTCGGTGTTCCTAATGAAACAGTAATGATAAAAGGGTAAATTTTACACCGTGAAAAGGTGAAAAAACTTACGTCGCCTTTAATTTTTTCATAATCCAATCATTTTGTAAATATATAATAAGTTTTTACAAGAGCATCCTATTGAAATATCATCGTAAATACTGAAATATCATTGCTGCGCTCAAGGATATATCCTTGAGCGCAGCAATGATATTTCAGTATTTACGATGATAGACCTACTGATCCAACCTGTTGCACTCCATCCTTGCCATGCCTACCCTTGTTACCCAAGCTTACAGCATAGTTAATAGAGGGGAATGGTTAGGAAACCCTTTTGTTATAGGTGTTTCACTTTTTTCAAGTGTGACCATGCACAATCCTTTGTTTAACCAATATTTTACCATTGTTGGCAATGGCTGAGTGAACAGACCAAAGTCTTACTTTTGGCTGCTAGTTCAAAATACTTAAAGATTTATAAGAGATATTTGAATATTCCTTACAACTATCCCATAGATATGTTTACTTATTTTGCAATTTCGGATTAGCAAAAATCAAACATTGTGCACGGTCAAGACCGGTTCAACATCAAAAGCGAACAAAGACCTGATAATAGGTTTCCTAACCATTCCCCTCTATTAATTATGCTTACAGATATGATATGTGAAGGGAAGAGGCCTGACTTGTTTCGTTTTTGACATCGATTGGTCCTCGAATAGACGTCAAAGAGGTCATATTTGTCATTCGTGTTTTAAGGAACGTCGAGGTTGTACCATAATGTGTAGATGTATTCATCCCTCGGATATCCTGAACCATCGTCACTTTACGGAAATTAAAAAGCCTCTTAATCTCGCTTTTGAATCCTCTCATTTGAAAGCTGTAAATGAACGGGTTGATGGATGAGTTGACGCAGATAAAGACCACGGCTGCGTTGTGGATGATTGAGGCGTACTTAAACTGGCTGGGCAAGTGGTAGGACAGCATGTAGAGGGTTAACACCGGCATCCATGACATACCATAAATCACCGTCACAATCAGAACCATTTTTGTCACCTTCTTTCTGGAGCTTAAGACCGCCGTCTGCGTGATATCAGCCACGTTTTGACGCTGAAACCACAGATTATACACGACCTTCGAGTAAAGTATCCCCATTAGAAGAACAGGCACTGCGAAGTCAAGGTTGAACATCAGTACGGTGTAGGCCTTAGCGAGGGTCACGTGGGGCCAGTATTCAGTGCAGAAATGACGCTTTGGGTTGAAATTGATGACGAGGAATGGAGGAATGTCGACAATGACAGCATACACCCAGCATGAAATGATTATGATCTACAGTGAGGTAAATAAAAATTTTTGCCTTAGATGATAATTTCCATTCATGGGAAATTTAGTTGGGCTTAAACTTGAATACTTTGGCTAACCTCTAGCGAAGGGGGGGGGGTGGTGGGGAGGGAGGGAACGCTCTCAGAAAGGTAAGTGTAATAAACGTCTATAGATTCCTTCGTCAAGGGATCTATTCTGTTGACTGAAACTGTTATTGCTGTTCAAGCTTTGAGATGGCGACGCGAGTACAAACCCAGTACAAGCTTCTACTATCTTTTTCTTCAAGTTCAAACCAAGAGTCCTACGCACGAAAGTTTGCTTTAACATACTTCCTTAGACTTCAGATTAACAGTGTTTTATTTTCTCGCAGCGATCGAAGCAACCGCTGAGCAAATTTGCCCGGGCCCAATACGCAATACCGCTCACTGAAGCCAACGTGGATTCAGGTGACTCCGCTGACCAAATGCATTGCTAACTGCAAACATGAACGTATACAGTCCCTATGGTGATAGTATGTCTCAGTTTCAGTTTTAAAGATGAGTTGTACCTACTTTGAGTTTTTTTCGAGTTATTCTTCCTTTCTCCATGTGTGGATAAACGATAGCGTAGTACCGCTCGACTGCTATGGCAACCAAACAAAACGAAGAAGCAGCTCCTCCAACCCACATGAAGTTGCCGCCGGTAAGAAATTTACATACATAGTCACCAGTCTCCCCGCTCGGGTGTGTGAATGCGCTCAGGAAAATGTGTCGCGGAGCCATGAAAAGAGCAACCATCATGTCCGCGACTGCTAAATTAACGAGAATATAGTTCATTGGAGTCTTGAGTGACCTGAAAAGGAAAGCAATATTATTTAGGTTGGGTTACCTATGTTATGCAACAGAATTTTAGGAATGATTTTTGTTCACATGAATAATGCTTTTTGCATATGATTCTAGAAGTCTAGCATGTTTAGTTTAATGACCGAGACGGTTTTGACTTGGAGATCTGCTTGTAGTTTCCTGTTCTACAAACCTCATTAAATTAACCTAAACATTCAAACCATAGTTAATAGAGTGGAATGGTTAGGAAACCTATTGTTATAGGTCTTTGTTCGCTTGTGATGTTGAACCGGTCTTGACCGTGCCAGAAAAAAACTCCAAATTATGTCAAAATAAAAAATCCTGCACAGCCATGAGGCGGGAAAAACATTATGCATAAAATAAATTGCTCCCCCCCCCCTCCCCTCCTCAAAAATCTTGTGGCTAAGTAAGGAATCCCGACTGACAGCCACACCGACTAAGACGAGGTTCAATAAAACGACCGGCTTGACAGACCAGAGATCCCTTGCGTTCCATAGTCTTACACATGTGATTACCACAGGTAGCCCACACGGCTCGAGAACTTCAAAAAGTATTATTTGCATTAGATTTAGTATAGTTAATTCTAATTTTATCGAGAGAAAGTGTCACTTCATTTTATCAAATGTCCAACAACAGCATCCGGAATTCTCAAGCGCAACATGATGTTGAAATAGCTTTTAAGAGGATATGAAATGATTCTCTTCGTTTTCTTTTCTTTTGTTTTTTTGTTTTTTTGTTTTTTGTTTTTTGTTTTTTGTTTTTTTTCTTTTTTTTTTTTTT